TTACCACTGAGGTATATCCTCAGCCCTCTTTATTTATTTTTAGTCTTGAGACAGGTGTTGAGTCTGACCTTAAACTTGTAATCCTCCTGCCCCAGCCTCCTGAGAAGCTGGTATCACAAGTGTATACCACTAGGCCCAGTCAGTATAATGATAAGATTTAAAATGCCATCATACAAGAAACAAAAGAACAGAATTTATACAAGGTGAGAGATTTGATTTTCATTGCCTCTGGAGTCATAGACTTTTAAGTCACTGGATAGAAATTATAGTAAAATAAATTCTGGTTAGAAAAACAAAAAACTTTGTGAGAATTAGAGCTTTGTAAAGTCAGAATGGATATCTTCAGAATTAAATGTTTACTTTGTGGGCAGATCAGAGGGAAGATAAAAAGAAGCAATGTGTTTGAGGTAACTAATACACCAAATAGCCTGATTTGATCCTTTCACAGGTAAACATATATCAAAACATCATACATACTTCATACATATAAACATTGTTTGTCACTTAAAAATAACATAAATAGAAGAAAATTCCTTGACATTAGGAAAACAAGCTTGTTCAAGATATCGTTTAACATTCTGTGATTTAAAAAAAAAAACTTATAAAATCATTTTTTGTTATTTTTTATATACAGACACTTTCTGCCTATGACCCTTGCTCTACAAAAGTGAAATCTAAATATAAATATGCCTTTTACTTACAAAAAAAAAAAATAGAAAAGTAACTCTTAATATAATCCTCTTTAAACTTAAAAAGTCATTTTGAACTCCTGAACCTTTAAAAATTGACTATTTGAATTGCAAAGGAATACCTTTTTTCAGAGTTTTAATTCAGCAGAACATAAAGGCAAAAGAATGCATAATTAATTATACTGAAAATGATTATTTTTCTCATATCTGATAGAACTAAAGAGACAGAAAAAGAAAGAAGGAGAAAAGAGAAAGAGAAAGGAAGAGAGGAAGGAACGAAAGAAGAAGAAGGAGAGAAGGAAGGAGGGAGGAAAGGAAGGAAAGAAATAGCTTACAATCCCAGATAACCTCATATCACAACTTTGAGAAAGAAAATCTTAAAACTAAATTCTCAGACATATGAGCTCTCAAAAATAAGTGTCCATACACACACACACACACACACACACACACACGGCCTTGTAGTAGAACTTATAAGAGTTTTCAAGTGAGTTTAAGTGAGAGTACTTGTGTTTTAATCCATAATTTATCGGTTAAGTGAACTTCAGCAAGTTATTGAATTTTTCTCAGTCTCAGTTTTCATACATGTAAAAGTGTTTTAATAATATTATTCATTCTCATAAAATCTGGAACACTTAAATAGAAAGTCTATAATGCATTTGGAAATTATATTTAACATATAATAAGCATTACATAATTATATTTTAAATAATTATAGTCCTGAGTAGTATCTGCTTATCCATAATAAACTTTGTGTCCACAATCCTGGATGGGCAAACTAGTCACTTAAAGAATAAAACGGAAGGCAAATCCTCTCTACCAAGGGTTTTCTTGGTATCCCAAGGCTCCATAGAATATGTTATCCCCACAAAGAGAAATTAATGGAAAAATCAAATCCACTAGCCCTCTCCCCCATGAGACAGGGATAGCTAGCTGGAAGTCACAATTAAATTAGTCAGCCACGTTTCCAGAAGAACTCTACATTCCAGAATCATGATACCAAACAAAGTTAACCAGGGCACATGAGATAAATCTATTTAATACTACTGTCTTAACCAGTGGTCTCCACAATCAGGTGGGAAATGGCAATATTTTGAATATGCACCCTGAAGTAAAACATATAATGTACCTAAAATTACCAATACATCTGACAGATTACATTATAAAATGTTCTGAAAAAAGAACAACCAACAGGTTTGAACCTATCTCAAAACACTGTTTACCTGGAAATGTTTTAGGCAAGAAAAATGGGAAATGCTATAGCTGTGTTTCTAGGTAACACTGTTTATTACTGGTAAAATACAAACGGAGTAGAAGGACACTGGATAAATCGTGAAAATCATTTGGGGACTGACAGACTTTAGCTCCTTGCCAGTAGTGCTTTTCTTGTGACTAAAGGTATCCATTGAGGGAACTTGGGCTGGTTCCTGTACAGTCTCAGCCTTATCCAAGGAAGGTAGTCCCTGACTTCCCATGCAGTCTCTTCATCTTAGAACTGAATTGCTACAGGGGGATTGAGGAGAAGGATGTGGAAAATTATTCCTGGGCAACTATAGGGATTGCCATTGAAGAAGCACCTGACATCACCATGTAGATAGACTATCCTTCCTGTCCTATATCTTTATGCAAACCCAAGTACACTTGATGTCATTTAACAACTTATTATCTGATATGACTCTGAATGTCAAATCGAAACACACACGTATAATAATCACACACATATATGTATAAAAAAGTAGAGACAGGCCATGCTGTGGCCCCCCCCATCTACCCACTGTCCCATCCCACTTCCATCTAGAGATAATAGCCAGGGCCAGAAAGACCATGACTCAGGGGCCTTCAGGCCTGATTTTATGATAGGTGAGGTATTGATAACCTGCAGGGATACTATAAGATTATAGGATAGAAACTGTAATACCTCAGATCCGCATTGCTAGAGAGGAAGACACATGAACAACATGAAAAAAAAGGGGGGGGAATAAAATGTCCCAAAGAAACCAAGATGCTACAATAATAGAATCCATTGACAGCACAGTAGATGAAATGTTAAGAGAAGGAGTTCAGAACATACATAATTAAAATGATCTGTGAAGTACAGAATAGTATAAGAAAGCAATTACAGGCAACAATTGATCACTCCTACAAAGAGATTAGAGAGCAAATACAGGCAACAATTGATCACTCCAACAAAGAGATAAGAGAGGGCCAGCATTGTAGCTCTGTTGTAGAGCACTTGCCTAGCATGTGTGAGACACTGTGTTCAATTCTTAGCACCACATATAAATAAATAAATAAACAAATAAATAATAAAGATTCATCAACAACTTTAAAAAATAAATTTAGAAAAAAAAAAAGAGATAAGAGATCAAATAGAGGTTACAAAAGGTTACTTCAAGAAAGTGATCAAGACTCTGGAACAAAGAAAACAGCAATCCTTGAAATGAAGGAAACAATAAACCAAATAGAACATTCAATAGAAAGTATCACCAACAGACTAGATCACTTGGAAGACAGAGCCTCAGACAATTAAGACAAAATATATAATCTTGCAATAAAGTTGACCACACAATGAAGATGGTAATGAATAGAATGTCCAAGAATGATGGGATAAGATGAAAATACCAAATATAAGAATTATTGAGATAAAGGAAGGCACAAATCAAAGGAATACACAACCTATTCAATGAAATAATATCAGAAAGTTTCACAAACATGAAGAATGAGTTGGAAAATCAAATACAAGAGGCTTACAGGACACCAAATGTATAAAACTACAACAAATCTATACCAAGGCACATTATAATGAAAATGCCTAGCATACAGATTAAGGATAGAATTTTAAAAGCTGCAAGAGAAAAGTTTTATATTACATGCATGAAAAAATTAGTTCAGATCTCAGCAAATTTCTCAACCCAGACACTAAAAGCTAGTAGATCCTATAACAACATTTTCTGAAAGAACATGGATTCCAACCAAGAATCTAGCAAAATTAAGCTTCAAATTTGATGATAAAGTAAAAAACTTCCATGATAAACAAAAGTTAAAAGAATTTATACTGAGAAAGGCTGCACTACAGAATAGTCTAAGCAAAATATTCTATGAGGAGGAAATGTAAAACAACAATGAAAATCTGCAAAGTGAGGAACTACACTGAAGGAAAAACCAATTAAAGGAGAAACCAAGTTAATAACCAAAAATAAACCAAAATGACCAGGAATACAAACCATATTTCAATAATAACCCTGAATGTTAATGACCTAACCTCATCAATTAAAAGACACAGACTGGCAGATTGGGTTAAAAAAAAAAAAAAGACCCAACAATGTTCTGTCTTTAAGAGACTCATCTCATGGGAAAAGATATCCACAGATTGAGGATGAAAGGATGGGAAAAAACATACCACTCACATGGACCACATAAACAAGCAGAGGTTTTCATCTCCATATCAGATAAAGTTGACTTCAAACCAAAGATAGTCAGAAGGGATAAAGATGGTCATATCTTATGTATTCAAACTATACTATTTTCTCCCTCTATTTCCATGGATTATTTTAAACAACAACTAACTTTGAGAATACATCTTGGGTACATAATTTATAAAATACTTGGGACATATTTTTTGTGTAAAGCTTAGAATATGTGTTTAACCCTTTCATGATGTTTTTCATTTGCATTTTGGACAGATTCTTGTCTTTGGCCATTTTAATTCTTTGGTTTTCATTGCAACTAATCTAGACCTTTTAAAACTAAAACCTAGTAACTCCAGTGTTATAAATTCTGCAATGGCAAGACGGTTTCTAAAAATGTAAGCACTAAAATATCTTCTTAAAGTACTTCACTTCTTATTTTCTTTTTTTTTTAAGAGAGAGAGAGAGAGAATGAATTGTAATATTTATTTATTTTTTTTTAGTTTTCGGCAGACACAACATCTTTGTTTGTATGTGGTGCTGAGGATTGAACCCGGGCTGCACCCATGCCAGGAGAGCGCGCTACTGCTTGAGCCACATCCCCAGCACACTTCTTATTTTCTTTTAGAAGATATTAGGAAGTATCTATAGGGAGCTTTGAAAACTATTCATTGTGGGAGAAGCAACTCTGGTGTTCAATTTTGATACACTTTTATAATGATTTCAATAAAACATGCCATGATAAAAACAGAAGTATGTCTCCCACACTTGATGGCTATCCTTAATTCCAAATCAAATATTTTAGCCAATTCCCATGATAATTTCTATAGCAGTGACTTTCATTACCCCATTTTTAGGAACACATTATTTTGTTTTTTTAAAAAAAATATGTATTTAGACTTACCCTGAAACATGCAACATCAGCAGCATGTAGAAGACAAAGAAGAGGTTATGAGTATACCAGAAGATGTCATAGTTAGAAACCCTGAAAAAAATAAATTAGTTTCATTCTTACTTTATAGCCCATCCCATTAAAAAGAGAATTCATTGTTTCAAACATATATCCCACTTTAAAAAAAGCTAAAATTTGAGTTTCTGAGATGTATCTATTCATATAAAAATATTAATATATCATACAAAGAGCAATGACAAAAATTATAAGTAATAGTTTTATCATTTTGAATGTTCTTTGTATTTCAAAGACACATGGAAAGGATTAAAATAAGGTGTGTATTTTAAAGTTATGACATAAGGCTAAGAAGTAAGTAGACTGCTAATTTGTGCTTATTTTGTCCCTTTTAGTATTATTTTCAATTTCCAAGTGATTCCTAAAACAACAAATGTCCCTATCCTAATATGTATTTTGACAATTGTTCCAAGATAATTAAATTGGAGAAAAACTTAAGTGATGAAAATTTTGAATTCTTTTCTTGGACTGTGTAACTTAAGAAAGATACCTTAGTGTTCTTGCTCTGGGGGAAGACAAATAGTCTGAAAAGAAAGGCAAGGTAAGCAAAATCTTTTAAATGTTTGAGTGAAGTACAAAAACTAACAGTCATTGTAGTCACATATCTAGGCTGAATATTCATATATTAAAATGTTGGAGGCAGAGTGCAGGTATTTGCAAAAGCTTCCTATATGACTCTGATCTCCTCTAGAACCTTTCAGAATTATTCCTCACTTAAATAATAGCCAATTTTTGAAATTTAATCCATCTATACTATTTGTTATCATAAACAATATCATTAACAATGTTGCAACATATGTTTTTTTATACATATTTTTTTTAAAATCAAAATTGCTGAAAGTCCAATTACTAGATCAAAGGCCACATACTTGTTTTGATATACACTTCCCAATGCTCTTGAAAAATGTATTTATAAATTTATATGTTGCAACATATGTTTTTTATACATATTTCTTTTAAAATCAAAATTGCTGAAAGTCCAATTACTAGATCAAAGGCCACATACTTGTTTTGATATACACTTCCCAATGCTCTTGAAAAATATATTTATAAATGTATAAATAGATTTATAAATTCCAAGTCCTACCACAAAGTAGAAGTGCTTATTTCCACAAACCCAGGCCCAACTTCATAAGGTTTTATTACTTTTATAAATGGTATTGAGTATTTTTTCATATATATGTTACTTTTAACTCTTTGTGACTAATATGAGAAAACTATTTACTTTTTAAAAATGTACTGGTCCCTTGTGATATTAATAATTTTTCTAGTATCATACTTAATTTTAAATTTTGAAACACCATATTGGCAAGCAGAAATTTCAATTTCCATGTTTGTAAACAAATACTTCCTGCATGATTCCTTGTCTACGTTGAGGACTGATAAATATCTACTTAAAGTTTCTTTAAGTTTTTAATGGTATCATTTTTACAGTTAACTGTAATTTATCTAGAATTTCATCTACTTATACCTTACTTTCTTCATAAGCTTGCAATGGCATCTTTATTATTTAGTAGGTCTTATACATAAAAAGGTCCTACATCCGGTTATCTATTGACTCTGCCCCTTCATTCATTTCTGCAAGACCTCTTTTCCTGTAAGTTACTGAAGCTTAATTATTTTAATGTTTACTAAGGCATATCTCTCTTTATTCTTATTTTGCAAAATGCATTTGAATGTTCCCTCAGATGGATTATAGAATCACTTTATTAAATTCAAAAAACAAAGAAAATAACATGTCTGGTATTTTCACTGGAATTGTAACAAATCTAAATTATAGTTGAGGAAGAAGTATACCTGTATATAATACAGCCTTTATTCAAATCTCTACTTATTTCTCTCAGTGAACTTATTTATGTGGGGTTTTTTCCACTTATAGTTTCTTAAGATATTAGTCAATTTTGATGCTGTGACCAAAAGACCAGATAGAACTAGTCAGGAGAGGAAAAGTATATTTTGGCTCGTGGTTTCAGAGGTTCAGTCCATGGTTGGCCCACTCTATAGCTTTGGGCCTAAAGTCAGGCAGAATATCATGGCACAAGGGCATAAAATAAGGAGAAAAGTAATCAGGATATGATAACCAAGAAGCACTGAGAGCTCCACTCACCAGAGAGAAAATATAAACCCCAGAGTTATACCTGCAGTGAACTCCTTCCTCCAGCCACACCCTACCTACATAAGAATATTACCCAGTTAATACAGTCAAGTGGTTTAATCCACCAATTCGGTCACAGCTCTATAATCTAATCATTTTACTTCTGAAAGTTCCTACCTTGTCTCACATATGAATTTTGGGGGGTTACCACATATCCAACCATAACAATCACTAAGTTTATCCCTACATATTTTGTGTTTGTTTCAATTGTGAATGTTAGAGTTTTATTTTATTCAATTTTCAAACCGGTTGGAGCTAGGATAGAAAAAAATTTTAATATTTTTTGTATTTGATTACATATTTCAATTCATTTATTCAATATTAATTCTTAAACTTTTCATAATTCTTTCAAATTTTCTGACTAGGCAATTATATCTACTTTTCTGGAAATAGTGACAATATGTTGTTGCATTTTTTTTTTCTTGTGATTTGGAATGTTTCATTTCTTACCATATGTAAACAATGATAAATTTTTAAAAATAAATCCAAAAAAAGATAAAATTAAAAATGTAACCTTGACTTTTTCCTGATTTTTCTTAAAAATTTAGGTACTTTTCACTGATAATTATGCTCTAAATTCTGACTTTTATGTTTTTTTAATTACAAAGAAATCAGTTAATTCCTAATTTACTATGATTATCTTAATCCATAACTAAAGTTTTTAATGACTTTTTAATGGATTTTAAAATCCATTGAAATGAGAAAAAAATGTTAATATTCCTTTTATTTGTGAATGGTATGTATTAGTATCCATATATCTGTACTGTTGTGCATAGCTACGTCAATTACCCTAATTTTCCTTCAAGTGTTCCAAAACTGAGCTGGGATTGTGGCTCAGTTGTAGAGCACTTGCCTAGAATGTGTGAGACATTGAGTTTGATTCTCAGCACTACATAAATAAATAAAGGTCCATTTACCTACTAATAAAATATATATTGAAAAAAAAGAAGTCCAAAACTAAAAATGTTTTTAAAAATTTTTACTTTTCCTTCATAGAACAGTGTTTCTCCCACAAAACTGGCACCCTCATGTACTAATGATGTTAAGATTCTATTTTCCTGTGAGGAAAATTTTAATTATTATGAAAAGTTTTAGAAGTTTACCATGTGACACAGTATTCTACATGTAGAAATTTTCCCTCAGGATATCATTGAAAAAGAATGTAAAGACATGGATGGCAGTGTTTGTTTCAGAATTTAATAGTGGAAAAATGAAATCAGCCCAAAATATCCATAAGTATAGAACTAGGAAAATAATATCTAATAGTGACATATTATGCCATTGTTAACAAATAACGTTAAAAAATATTAGTGTGAAAGATATTCGGTTCACAAATTTAAATAAAGAGCAGATTGAACTTAATACTATGATATGATCTTATTTAGGGGAAGTACACAGATATACGCCAAAAGAGAAAAGTTAGGATTTTGAAGGAAATATAATGATTTTGGTGGAGACAGGAAGAGGAAAGAAATAAGTATTGACTTTACTTCTGAGTTTTGGGGGAGTGTGTATGAATATAAGTAGGTGTCTTTGGAAATATAAGCATTGGCTCATTTGAGTATATTATTGGGCAATTATTTTCAAAGTATATACATATATATATATATATATGTGTGTGTGTATATATATATATATATATATATATATATATATATATATATTTGTGTATGTTTTTCTATCTCAGCAAATAGAAAGATTGAAGACTTTTGAAAATTTTGTTTTTGCTTTCTTTAAACAAAGTTTAACCAGAAACATAAGACACTATAAATATTCTTAAACATAGAACATATCCATCTGAAATAATATAAAAGTGCTCCTCATAATGTATCTCTAAAATTGCTCAAAATCTTTTAATATGAAAACCAGTATGAATGCATGTATCTTCAATTATTTTAGCAGATATCAACCAACCATATTTCCACATCACTATTTGGAACACTATGTTATTTTACAGCAAAACAAACTGATATCAGGAAATTAGCTATAAAATAATTTTAAGTCATATATTCTTAGGAATACCCATCGTCCATATGTATGCAATTGAATTCAAGCCTGTGTGCCACAGAAATAAACTGTCCTTCAGAAAGATGTTTCTGAAGAACTCAAATTTCCTTGATCATTAAAGAGGTTTTGCAGAACAGGAAATGATATTTACAATCACCTTTATTTCAGTCTTTGTTACCTATAGTAGTCCATTAACTAGGACACTGCATTGGCTAAATGCTTTGGTTTATCAAGATATTTCCAATATATGAAAATGAAAATAACCAAAAGAAAGTATCAATACTATAAACTAGTAGATAACAAAACTGACTCTGACACTTACCTTATTGCATATGTAGATGCTGTAATCATGAGGAACAGCACTACCACCATGCAGACCCCTGTTAGGCCAGGAACTGTAAAAATGTACATAAGTAGGTTTTAACTTAAATCACATTGAGTAAAAAAGCACAAAAGATATTTCCTTAAAATCCAAAGTACTATGCTGTTCTGCAGGAAGCCAAACTGAAATTGTATATGTGCATGTATGTTCCTCTCTAACAAGCCTTTTCAAAATCAGCACAGTTCCAGAGTACTTAAGACAAGGCAGAATCTTTCCTTCCTCTATTAGAGTTCTTTTTTTATTTCCCCAAATATTCAACTCAGAATTGTGAATATAAACCTATTTGTTCAGGCACATAAGACACCAAATGTCAATAATTAATGCAAGGGGACAGAGTTAACATTTAATACCCTGCTGTTTTTGGTTTTCTCCACCATAACACTCAATATCTTGACTCTCTCCTCCCTCCAATATGGAGTTAGAAACTCCTCTGGCTTCAATTTCAAGTAACTATGTTTGGACTCCACTTCCTGGAATAATTTTAAATAAAAAATGTTTTTTATAAAACCTAAAGCTTTTTAAAAATAAAAAATATAGAACAAAAATTGTAGATTTCAAGAAAAAAAAGATACTGTGCTGGGCTGAGGTTATGGCTCAGTGGTACAGTGCTTGCCAAGCACTTGCCTAGCACATGTGAAGCACTGGGTTTGATTATCAGAACCACATAAAAGCTAAAATAAATAAATAAATAAAGATATGTGTCTATCTACAACTATAAACAAAATTTTAAAAAAACGTTGTGCGGATACTCTGAGAATACTTTCAGAGGTAGTTCCTCTAAGTATGGAAAACATTAAAATCAGATGGCACACTTTTCACATGACATGATGTTGGTTTAAAAAAAAAGAATGAAATGTACAAACATGTCAAAATTAATAACAGGTAAATTGCTACAAACTTAGGATTAGTTATATAGTTTGTCCAAATGAACAGTTGATATATCATTCCTAAAACAGCTGAAATCTTAGTATGTCCCTTTCTTACATTTTGTTATCAAATTAAATACCCTATATGTCTATGCTACATTTTTTAGTCTGAAAAATCATATAAGTAACAGTTAAGTCTTAAACATCTCCTCTGAGAGACTCTTAAATCGTGCCAAAAAGAAAGCTACAGGAAGACTGTTGTCTGGGGAAGAATATACAATTCTCCGACTTCTCCCCTTGACTAGCACCACCTATAGAACAGAAGGTGATCATGGACCATATGCCATTAAAACAGCAGTCAAGAGGATACAGTGGAAGGTCAACACAAGTATTCATCTTTATGACTGCAGCAGACTTAGAATTATTGGCAAATAACATTAATACTCTCAGTGCAGTGGAAACAATTGTCACTTGTAAAGGGGCACACGAAAAATAAGGGTAGTAATCTTTGGATTTTAACAGTTGCATGCTTTCTTCTAATTTTTCCCATGATACAAATTTAGAAAACTAATGGGACATGACCTTCCCTGCTATACCTAATGACCTAATAATCACATCTTTTCTACATTTTCTAAGGTCTTCCCTTTTCCAGTCTTTCCCTGTCCTCCAGGTGAGTGCTTCCATTAGAGGGGTAAGAAAAAAAACAAGATATCTAATTTAGTTCATGTTAAAGAACTAATGGTTCAGGAAATATGCCATTTAAAAAAAAATGATGCCTACAAAATGGTCCATCTATTGTACTCCCAAGTATTTACTCAAAATAAAACACAAACATAGCCACATAAGAATGTATTCAACAATGCTCATAGCTATTTTATTTTTTAATAGGACACATAAATGACTCTGATCTCCATAAACACATGAATGGATAAGCAATTTAGATATTATCTATATCTGGAAAGTTAATCAGCAATAAAAAGCTATGAAGTGTCAATACAGAAAAAGGAGAGAACTGGATGTAGTGATGCACAACTGTCATACCAGTTGTTGGGGAGGCTGAGGGAGGAGGATCACAAGTTCACAGCCAGCCTCAGCAACTTTGTGAAGCCCTAAGAAACTTAGTGAAACCCTGAAAATTAAAAAAAAAAATTGAAAAAGGGATGAAGATGTGGCTCTGTGGTTAAGCACCCTTGAGTTTAATTCTTGATATTTTTTTTTAAAAAAAAAGCAAGGACAAAGGTGAATCATAGCATTATTAGAGTGGGTGAAAAAAGCAGAATTGTTTGACCCCCCAAAAGTGCAAGCCTTATAATTGCTTTTATAGAAAAATCACACTTGGGGCTGGGATTGTGGCTCAGCGGTAGAACGCTCGCTTAGCACGGACGAGACCCGGGTTCGATTCTCAGCACCACATAAAAATTTTAAAAAAGGCATTGTGTTGTGTCTGTCTAAAAAAAAAAAAAAAAAAAGATTCTCTCCCTCTAAAAAAAAAAAAAATCACACTATTCTTTAGGGATAAAAAGTAGAACAGCGGCTAAAAGTGGTAGAATACAAAACACATTGTTAAGGGGCACAAAAATCTTTTGGATAATAAAAATATTTATTATGATGATTTTGGTGATGATTTGATATAACATATTTTGAAACCAATGAAATTACATACTTTATGTATATATATATTCAATAAATTGAAGGTGATGAAAGAGCTAATTTCTCCCATTTCAAGTAATTTTAAAAAGACCTTATTTGATTAAATGAATAACTAAAGGTTAGAATCTTAAATGCATATACAGTATGAAAATCACGGTAGTAGGCGCCTCTACAACAATTTTATTGAGACTTTATTAATGTTCTACTATATCCACACATAGGGTCTCCTCTGTGGTTTTGCATATGCTGATATTTGCATATGCTGATATAGATAGTATAAGCATGCTATCTGTTATGGAATATCTGCAATTGCTTCATTGGAAAGACACTTGAAAACACTGTCTATGTTTAGAATATAGCCACAATTTCTAAAATATGCTACTCAAACATTAATTTTCTGAGATACTAGTTTCTATTACTCAAAAATCTTATAATCCTGCCTTAAAAAGACATAAGGCACACCAGTATATTAAAACTCTCTAAGAAGTACTATAGTCAAGAAACACATGTAAACTTAAATATTTCCTCAAATTTGTTTGAACACAGAAATGAATTCCCTTTAGAGCAGAACATTCAGAAAACCAAAAGACTTATATAAAATTGTTGGCTTTCATCATTTGAAGATAAAGGAGAAGCTTAGACCACCTGGACAGTGGTATAAAGCTCTGATAGGCAAAACTCTAATCTCACTGAATCTCATTTGTAAACTAACAAGAATAAATTCAATAATTGTAATGTTCCTTATGAAGTTGTCTATTTTATCTGAAGAATTTATTTTTCCTATCTCCCAAATGTATTAAAAGACTAGAGTTTTTTAATTTTTATAGCTGCAGATTTCAGACCAATGAAGAAGAAAATTTTACAAGGAAAAAAGAAACTCTTTCTATAATTACAGTGGGAAAGAAAGAAAGAAAGAAAGAGAAAAAACAGAAGAGGGAGATACTAACTTAAGAAGCCCCAAGTGTAACCATTGGAAGTAAATAAGCAGAGGCTTGCCAACCCACTATCTGTAACAGAGATCTGTGCATCACAGAAAATAGTTAAATAAATATCTTATTTGTTCAGTAATGTTTGTAGACATAGTGTACTGTTAAGTGCTAGAGATAAATGAATCCTGCTCTAAAAGAAAACTCAGCTCGGTGGGGGAGACAGGAAGGTTAAGTAGGCAATTGCAACATGGGCATTAAGTGCTGAGAGAGGCAAGCATGGAGTGCTTTCCAGTTCCATCGAAGGGCACTCTAACTCAGACTTGCCTAGCAACTCAGCCAAGTCCCTTATATTAGCTCCTTATTGCTATACATTCCAAGAGTCAAGAAAAACAGGCTGAAAATCATTATATTAGTGTAACTGCACTGGGCAAAGTTACTTGTCTAAATGAATTACACTTCTTTTATTTTTTTTTTCACTGATCCATGCATATCCCACTTTGTTTTGTTTTTGTTTTTGTTTTTTTAATTTTTATTGTTGGTTGTTCAAAACATTACATAGTTCTTGATATATCATATTTCACACTTTGATTCAAGTGGGTTATGAACTCCCATTTTTACCCCGTATACAGATTGCAGAATCACGTCAGTTACACATCCATTGATTTACATATTGCCATACTAGTGTCTGTTGTATTCTGCCCTCAGGGTTATACAAAATTACATACAAGAGGAAGTGAGGGGAAAGGGGAAAAATAATATAAGGGGGAGAAATGAATTACAGTAGAGGGGGTAGAGAGAGAAGAGGGGAGGGGAGGGGAGGGGGGATAGCAGAGGATAGGAAAGGCAGCAGAATACAACTTATTTTCTTTTGAACCCTTTGAATTCTTTGAATTATGAAGCCAAACACTCACTTGTATTCAGGAAAATATAAGTTTCTATGTTTATTCCTATTGTTTGTTATCTATGCATGTTAATTTCATTAACCAGTAACCTTTAAATGAATAATTGCACTTTACTGTCATTTCTGGATGAATTTGAGAGATAATTTATACCCATATCTAATGTGATCAGAAACATACTATCTTTTATCAATTATTCTACTTCTTCTAACTTAATTGGAAACATGATTGTGCTTATCTGTGCAGTTTTTTCCTAATTAAATTAGATGTTGTGCATTTTACTCTCACCATATAAGGTACTCCCAAATTTAGAAATATGTAGTATATAAGCATTTTTAATGAATTTTTGGATAATAATTTAACCTAATTTTATTTTACAAATTTTTAATTGAAATACTTTTACTATTTCACATGTATCAAGTCAAAGTACTATACTTTGTCTCTTACACTTCCCAGGCTTTATTTTTCCTTTTTACAAAACCATCTTAATTTCTTAGTTGTCAATTACACTGAAAAAATTTTAGACACGAAGATATATGACTGCAACATTGACCACACTATAATCCAAAACAATCTATCAGTGAATAAAAATGTATTCCTTACCACTACAAAAATCTAAAACATTAGACAGTAACTTAATTTTTCCTACACACTGCATCTGAGAACATTCAAAGACAGCTATGGAATATTTTTGGTCATTAGTAAAACTACAAAATTGATTTAAGGCTGTTGCAGAAGAGGCATTTCTCATCCCCTTACCATCCTTAGGCTCCCATGTGCTCTGATGTGCCACTATTCAGTGGGCTCAGCCACATCTCCTAAAAAGCTTCAGACTCATGCTTTGGAAGCTCTCTGTTTATAGCTCCAGTTCCCAGTTCATTGCTGGGAAGCACCCAGCTACCATAAAGTATTTCTCTCATGAAATTATGTGAACTGGGCCACCAAAATGGTGCCCACTTGTTAATTTGGGGTGACTCAAATTATTTAAATTAACAGAAGTTCTACCAAAAACAGAAGGGGAAAAAAAAATTTTCCTTGAGTCTTACATACCACAGAGGGAGCCCTGCCACACACCTGAAGAGGCTCACTTTCAAGAGGAAAAGACAAATTTTTAAGGCAATAAACTATTCTACATATTGGTAGAATCACAATCTGTCAACTGTGATTTTAAGAATGAGCAGATATTGACCAGGCAAAGAAAAAGAGTTGACTATCTCAGGCAAAAGATAGATAATCGTAAAAAGGTGTGCTCAAGAGAATGACAAAATGTTTCATGAGGACAGAACACTAGCTTCCCAGGTACCAGGGAAGGCAAGTAAAATCATAACACTATGTCCCTCCCAAAGGCGCCCTAAGATAGAGCCAGAGAATTTGTTTTTAAGTATCTTATTTTATTCCAACACCATTTCTGGATACTTCTAGCATTTTATGCAAAGTAGGGTGGGTCACAGAGTTACACAGCAGTAAAAATTATATTAAGTTTATCAATGTAATATCTTAGTCTTATAAGAAAATTTTTATCTTTGTAAACTAGACTTTGGAGCATTATAAATGTCCCAAGGTTTCAATCAAACATTGCGCTGTAGAAAACAGTATTAACACAAAGATCTTTTTCATTTCCTTTAAATTAATTTATATGAACCAAGAAATAGTTGACTCATGCATAAAGTTTTGTTTTTCTGCTTTTTTCCTCTCCTATTTCTCATCCAAACCTTGAGGCTTATATAAAATATGTTTTTGATGACCAAAATTGTAAGCAAAACTATTGTTACTAAAGAGAAAAATATGAAATATTTTACAAGCAGTAAATATAAATCCACAGGCAGAGATAAAATACATTTTAAGAATTTAAACATATAATCATGACATGGGGAATAAAGCACCTGAATTTTTGTTATTTTTCATCATGAAATTGGTTCAAAGGGAAACAATACATTTGATAGGTAATGTGCCTCAGTCCCCTATTCAAGTCTGATTCTTAATGAGTTATCAAAGACAATCATTTATGATGAATCCTCTCAACTACTCAATCATCCTTGTCTCTGAAGTAAATGCTGACAGTCCCCATGATACAGTTTACTCTTTTCATGTTCATAAATAAATATAAGGTTAAGAAATAGAAGAATTTTTGTAACATTTAACATTAACATCAGGAGAAAAATTTTGAGGTTTCATGTTCTTTAACAAATTGACAGTCTCCACTGAGATTTCATGGACAATATGCTTGAGATAGAAAAATAAATTACAAATGAAAAAGAACCAGAAACTTCTAGAACTAATAAATTAATTCAGCAAAGTAGCAGGATATAAAATCAAAACCCATAAATCAAAGGCAATTCTGTATATAGGTAACAAATCCTCTGAAAGAGAAAGAAGGAAAACTACCCCATTTACAAGAGCCTCAATAAAATAAAATAAAATAAAATACTGAGGAATCACCTTAACAAAAGAGGTGAAAGATGTTTACAATGAAAACTACAGAAACTAAAGAAAGAATAAAGAAGACCTTAGAAGATAGAAAGATCTCACTTATTCTGGATAGGCAGAATTAATATTGCCAAATTGACTATATTACCAACAACATTATTCAAATTTAATGCAATTCCAACCAAAATCCCAATGACATTCCTCATAGAAATAGAAGAAACAGTTATGAAATTCATCTGGAAAAATAAGAGACCCAGAATAGCTAAAGCAACACTTAGAAAAAGAGTGAAGCAGGTGGTATCACTATACCAGAACTTAAACTATACTACAGAGCAATAGTAACAAAAACAGCGTGGTATTGGCATCAAGATAGACAAGTAGACCAATGGTACAGAATAGAGGATACAGAGACTAACTCGCATAATTACAGTTATCTTATATTAAACAAAGGCATTAAAAACATACATTAGAGAAAAGATAGCCTCTTCAACAAATGGTGCTGGGAAAACTGGAAATCCATAAGCAACATTATAAAATTAAACCCCTATCTTTCACCATGCTCAAAACTCAATTCAATGTGGTTCAAAGACCTAGGAATTAAACCAAAGACACTATGTCTATTAGAAGAAAAAGTAGGCCCCAATCTTCATCATGTTGGATTATGCATCTACTTACTTAATAAGACTCCTATAGCACAAGAATTAAAATCAAGAATCAATAAATGGAATGGATTTAAACTAAAAAGCTTCTTCTCAGCAAAAGAAACAATCAGTGAAGTGAATAGAGAGCCTACATCTTGGGAGCAAATTTTTACCACTTGCACATCAGATAGAGCACTAATCTCTAGGGTATATAAGCTAAGCACCAAAAAAACAAATAACCCAATCAATAAATGGGAAAAGGAACTGAACAGATACTTCTCAGAGGATGATATACAATCAGTCAACAAATATATGAAAAAATGTTCAACATCTCTAGCAATTGTAGAAATGCAAATCTAAACTACTCTAAGATTTCATCTCACTTCAGTCAGAATGGCAGCTATGAAGAATATAAACAACAATAAGTGTTGGAGAGTATGTGGGGAAAAAGGTACACTCACACATTGATGATGGGACTGCAAATTGATGCAGCCAGTCTGGAAAGCAATTTGGAGATTCCTTGGAAAACTGGGAATTGAACCACCTTTGACCCAGCTATCCCACTCCTTAGTCTATACCCAAAGAAATTTAAAACAGCATACTACAGAGATACAGCTACATCAATATTTATTGCAGCACAATTCACAATAGCTAAACTGTGGAACCAACCTAGATGCCCTTCAGTAGATGAATGGATAAAGAAAATGTGGTATATATACAGAATGGAATATTACTCAGCATTAAGAGAGCATAAAATCATGGCATTTGCTGAGAAGTGGATGGAGTTGGAGAATATAATGCTAAGTAAAATAAGCCAATCCCAGAAAACCAAATGCCAAATGTTTTCTCTGATATGAGGAGGCTGATTCATAATAGGGATTGGGAAGGCTGTGAGAAGATTAGACATACTCTAGATAGGGCAAAGTAGAAGAAGGCGGCATGGGTGTAGAAAAATTGGTGGCATGAGATGGTCATCATTACTCTAAGTACATGTATGAAGGCACATATGGTGTGATTCTACATTATATATAACTAGAAATATGAAAAATTGTGTTCTGTTTATGTAATATGAATTGAAATGCATATTGCTGCATATATAACAAATTGGAATTTAAAAAAAAAGAAAATGGATACACACTTCAAAACCATGACTGATGTTAATGATGGCTTGCTTCTGCTCTCAGTTATAGGTTTAATTTCACAATATACATCCTGCTAAATTACAGGATTATATGAACTATACTGATACTGGAATACTCTGTTTCTTTCCAATAACTTATATGTGTGCCATCTTTCACAGCACTTGTCACAACAGCCACACAAAGCAGACCCTAAACAAGCATATGGGGTTGTAGTTTTCACTGGAAAAACATGACTTGTGTTTGCTTGCTTTTACTCCTTGTTCATTCATACTCAACTGTGTCTTGTCCCTCTGTCCTCATTTATGCCTGACCTCTTAACATTTGTTCCAATATGCAAATTTTCCATATGTTGTACTTTAACATCTTTCTAATTGCTGCACACTTTGACTGGGCTTATTTTCAGACATTTCTAAATCTAAGGATAGGCAACAAATAACAACTTACCAGTTGTGAAGAGTAGTTTTCTAGGATCCTAAGAAAAATAAAAAAGAAAATATTTGACTGAAAAATAAACATTGATATGAAATTCTATCAGAAATTTGAAGGGTATAAGAACCATGTAGTGGGCATGTCAGATAGCAGTCTTCCAGTTTAAGTGAAAGAGAATCAACTAAGTTTTCTAACATTTTCATAATGCTAGAGGAGATTAGCGCAAGGGAAATAATCCAATACAGAGAAGGGTTTTTTGGTTTTTTATCTGAGAAAGGCTGAGTACTGGATAAGTCAGAAGGCCTAGGATCTAATCTTAATGACTGCTTATAAGCTAGTGGTATTGGTCCTAAGCCCACCTTTTGACAATTTGGGGACTCAACATCTTCAACTATAATGTGGGAATATTAATATACACTCTACTGCAATTGCCAGAATGCACCTCAAGATGGTGGGAATCAACACCAACAAAATGTCAGAGGTTTACATACTTTAAATTCAGTGTAAAGATGAATAATTGAAAACTCACCATATTTCAAATACTGTGAAAACTGTGAGAACACTGAAAGAATTGGGATATGTTTCTAATACTTGAAAATATTGTTATTGTAGTATTTATTTTAAAATATATCTCTCATACAGTAATGGAGTACAGTTAACTCTTTTTCTACCTTCTGCAAAACTTAGGTCAATCTCCAGTAAATGTGTGGATTTGATTTTTCACCCTCATGATGCTTAATACTGCACAAGTTGTGTTTTGGTTTTTGTTTGTTTTGTTGCAATGTGAGGGATCAAGTCTAGAGCCTCATACATGCTAGGCAAGCAGTTGGCCAATGAGTTACTTACCAAGTGCCCTAAACAAGATTTTGAATTACTTTATTTATGTTCCACCTTGAATCTGGCTATATAGTAAATAGGAAACCATTTATGTGGTGTAATTAAAGGGGCTTGGAATAAGCATCACTTGCCTTGGAGTAGCTCCTCACCTCGTAATGTAGGACAAATGACTTATCTTTCTGGTTTTAGAAACATGACAAAGTGTGATCTAGAGAAACCCAAAATACGAATAGCTAGAAAAAAAGTGAGCTGAGCAAAGTGACACTGAAATATAAATATATAAATATGGAAAGCCAAAAGATCGAAAAATTACTATTGCCAGAGAAAGAAGACAGAACTGGAGAGTGAGCAACAGCTTCACAGATAATAAGATGAGGCAGAGTATCAGGGTCACCAACAGCTTCACAGATAACAAGATGAGGCAGAGTATCAGGGTCATTGATATATTTTTTTTAATTTTTATTATTTATTTTTTTAGTTTTCGGCGGACACAACATCTTTGTTTGTATGTGGTGCTGAGGATCGAACCCGGGCCGCACACAAGCCAGGCGAGCGTGCTACCGCTTGAGCCACATCCCCAGCCCGTCATTGATATTTTTTGAAAATATCAATGCCAATGCTTAATCCAGACCAAATAAATAGTATTAATGTTTTTAAAAATACTTGAAACAAGTATTAGTAAAGTATGTTTTATAACAAAAACTTGAAATCAACCTAAATGCCCATGAATAAGAAAAAAGCTAAAAAATATAACACATTCTTATAAGAGAATGAGACAGATATATTCTGAAACAGTAGCCTTAATATGGATACTTATAGAAACAAGTAAATTGCAGAGGAATGGGTATCATCAAATATTACTCAAACGTTTTAAAAGAAACACAAAATGATTAACTGTGACTAGCTTTGAAGGATAAACTTTCAGTTTTAATTTCATCTACTCAGATTTTTAGTATTTTATACCAAATATATTGCTCAACATAAATTAATTTTAATTACTAAAAACCTGAAAATTACTAAAATATGTAGGAAATGTTAAGAAAAATTATATTCATATGATAAAATGATTATAAGTACTAAAGATATTTGAATTCTAAAAGAGAGAAAGCAAAGGCATGGGGGAAATAGCTGGGGAAGTAACTCAGCATTAAATGGTTTTCCTAAGCATCTACAAATACCTAGGTTCAAATCCCAGCCCCAGCATTAGAAAGAAAAAGAAAACGATAAAATAATAAAAGTATATAGCAAGAGCAGTAAATGTAAACACAAGTGTAATGGAAAGAGGGCAAGATAGATGCAGAAAGGGAAAAGGAAGCTAGAAATTTAGGCTAAGTTTGAAATCATTACACGTGAAGGATAGTTATGGGCATTTTAAGGAGCTAGATTTTTTTCTGTGATTCTCAGTACTAGGTATACTCTATAACCACTTGGTGAGCTTTTTGAAAATATCAATGCCAATGCTTAATCCAGACCAAATAAATAGTCTTAATGTTTTTAAAAATACTAGAAACAAGAGATTTACTGAAAGTTACTTGCTGTTTAGATTTAGTGACTCTTTTTCTCTATTTATTGTTACTTTCTCTTCTGTTTTGTTCTGGGAGAGAGGTCAAGCATATGATTATAGCAATATTGACCCTAAAAATTCAGGTGATATGTAGAAAAGAAAACAGAGAAGATGGAGAACAAGTGTGTTGTCACTACCAGTCAATACTAAAGGACAATGAGGCAGAACAGTTTTGGTGCAGTCTTGTCATTGGGAAGCAAAGGAAGCTTAAAGACAATGTGGAAGTACTGAGCAGCAGAGACCTAACCAGAGCTGTGCATACACTGTACATCAGGCTCTGGCCTACCACTTGTACATACAATTTTATTTCATGGGTGGTTTCACATTTTTTAAAAAGGAGCTAAATCAGATACTGCCTGCTATAGAGTTTGGCTCAAGTTCATCTATTTCAAGGAGTAAAATTAAAAAGGAAAAAGCCTAGCAGTGGTACATGCCTATAATACCAATTACTAAGGAGGCTAAGGCAGAAGGACCTCATGTTCAAGGTCAGCCTCGAGATATAGCAAGAGTACCTCAAAATTTTAAAAATAAATAAATAAATATAAAGAACTGAGGATGTAGTTCAGTGGTAGAGTCCCCCTGGGTTCAATCCCCAATACCACAGGGGGAGGGGTGGGAGCGGGGAAGGAATCATGAAACCTCACCGATATTTTTTAGGTTAAATTATTGATTACCCATGATCCACAAATAGCCTTCTTTTCTGCCCTTTTCCCAAAAACATAGTATGCGAGTTATTAAAGTATTTTCACCCTATAATGGTACTGTCGAAACTCTCAAATAAATGATAGGAATTAGACAAAAGCTGCTGAGAGTCAGAAGGTAGACCTGAGTGGCAACCATCCGAACATTACAGAATTTAAAAAGTAGACACTCTGCAAACTCCCATTTTCAGCAGGAGAGACTATGAAATAGTAATTACCTATATTTTCTATTGAAAGGGAATAAAACTCAACTTGACAACTGCGTTTTAAAGCACTCAAAAGGAGAAGCAAGGTACAAATTTTCTGTGAAAATCACAGACCCTCATTAGTCATTTAATGACAAGTGAAAGGAAAATGGGAAGACAGAGACCACCCACCTCATCTTGGTATCTTGCTGCATTCAGTTCAATAAAATCTTCACTGTAGTTCACTGAGAAGTTGAGGGCATTCACCAGATGGGCAGCCACATGCACACCTACAGAACACACCAGGTGCATGTCAACGAGATTTTCAGACACACCCTGTGTGGCAAGAAGTCAGTTCCTCCCACAATGTAATATAGGGGCAAAGTTTAAGAGCTATATGGGCAATGGACTATTACATTGAAAAGTAAAGCTTTTAAAATATTTCAAAACTCTTGAATATTGAGACTTTATCTAATTTTCAAAAGTTAGAATGAAATAGCCATGGTAATTCAGATTTGAAAAAAAAGATACATACTCAACCGTTGACCCCACCACACACACATACATATTTAAAAAAATGCAAGTCTAATAACATTGACATTTACTGTTTTTCTTAAGGGGCTCCTGGGTATTTTAGGTATTCTACATCCTTCATCTCTCCCATGGTTCCAAACCTCTCTATATCTTATACACCTCATTGTCATACAACGTAAAATAGAGGCCAACTGAAAGGCTTTTGGCCAACTGAAAATTTTCACAATCCATAGATAATGTCCTAATCCCAAAAACAGAATGTTGGGAACCACTTCGGAAACAAAAACTCTGGAAAATAATGATCACCATTTGATAAATGACCTACCTATAATTGCACAGTAAAGAGTGTGTAGCTGACTCAGAGCTCATACAAAAGATAAAGCATTAGGAAATTACTACAGATTTCAAGACAAACTCATTTTAACATAACCAGGGGAGAAAAAAAAAATATCTTAAGGAGATAGATCAAGGAAGGAGCAAATCACCCATATTCTCCTCCATTCCCAACCTTTTCCTGTGGGTGAAATAAGTTATGAAATGGGTAAACAATATTATAATGTATTGGAAGGAACAACAGTTAACTAAAAATCCTGTGATCTTGACCACATTGCTTGTCTACCAGCTCCTCAGTTTACATTTCTCTATAAAATGATAGTGACAGAAGTGAAAGACTTGAGATAAGTGCTCTACAACTGCTTAATAAGCCATTATAGTTTCCAACAATGTATGGAATGTAGTCATTCAAAAGAAGACATAGTGGGGAAAGCAGAGAACTCTATGATCCCCGGCAAGCCAGAATAAAAATACAGAGAGACTAGGAGCAATAGATTACAAAAACTAATGAAAGTGAGAGGGGACTGAATGCTAAATAAACTCAAAGTTGACTTAAAGGACTTATAAGATAGGTAATCAAATTAGAAGTGGGGAAAAGGTCACATTAAAAGTCGACAAATGAATACTTATTAGAAAGTTAATCAGGAGAGTGTGGTTTCAGTAAAAGAACAGACAGAACAATTGAACAGAATAAAAAGGCCAGAAATAGACTGTGAATAAAGTCAACTGTTCTTTGACAAAGAAGCAAAGGCAATGGAATGGAGGGGGAAAAATAGAATTTTCAACAAATGGTTCTGGAACAGTTGAAAATTGACATTTAAAAAAAAATGAGTCTAGACATATACCTCACATATTTCATTAAAATTAACTCAAAATGGATCACAGAACTAAATGTAAAATTTCAAACTATAATACCCCAAAAGCCAACATGAGGAAATATGTAAATTACCTCGGGTTTGATGATGACTTTTTATTTATTATAATCAATCATTATCATTTTATAATCAATCATTATCATTTTAATTGTACTTGTTTATGCGGTACAGTGTGATAATTCATTACACGTATACAATGGGTGATGTTTTAATCAAGGTAATTATCATGTCCATGTCCTTGAACATTTTTAAAAATTTTTGGTTAACACATAATATTTGTGCACATATAAGAAGAAGTACAGTGTGACATTTCAAAAGGGTATACAATATTTATTTCCATTAGCTAATAATGTTGAGGATTTTTTCAAACTTATTAATCATTCTTCTTTTGAGGAGTATCTATTCATATAATTTACCCATTTTGAATTAGATTATTTGTATTGGGTTGTTGAGTTTTAAAATTTTTTATATATTCTGAATATTAATCTTTCATTGGATGAATAGTTTCTAAAACTCTTTCTCATTCTGTAGATTGTTTCTTCACTCTGTTGACTATTTCCTTTGCTCCTCAGAAACTTCTTAATTTAACATAATCCTGCTTGTCTGGTTTTTGCTTTGAATGCCTATAATTTGGGTGTCTTATAAAACAGAGGTATGCCTATTCCAATGTCTTGAAATGTTTCCTTGTTTTCTCTAGTGATTGCATAGTTTCAGGTCTTATATTTAGATCTTTGAACTATTTTGAGTTAATTTTGTATGTGTGTGAAAGATAGGGGTCAACTTTCAGTATTATACAGGTGAATATTTAGTTTTCCCAGCACCATTAATTGAAGAGTCTTTCTTTTTCTCCAACATATGCTTTTAACACTTTTGTTGGAAATTTGTTGCCTGTATACTCATGGGGTTATTCCTGGGCTCTGTTCCATTAGTCTGTGTGTCTGCCTTTTGCCAATACTATGCTGTTTTGGTTACCATAGCTTTGTAGTGTATTTTGAAGATGGATAGTGTGATGTCCTCTGCTTTGTTCTTTTTGCTCAAGATTGTTTTAGCTATTCTGAATTCTTTTGTGCTTCCATGTACTTTTTTAGGATCGTATTTTCTATTTATATAAAGAAAGACTCGAGATATAAAGAATGTCATTGGTATTTTAGCGGGAATTGTATTGAAACTATAATTTGGTGATGACCTTTGCATATAGCACCAAAGGCATGATTCATGAAAAAAAAAAAAAAAGGATTGATAAGCTGGACTTCATTAAGTACAAGTCACGAGACTGGGAGAAAATATTTGCAAAAGTCATATCTGATGAAGGATTTTTATCCAAAATAAACAAAAAACACTTAAAACTCAACAATAATAAAATATAAAATGTGATTACAAAAGAGTCAATAAAGAGGACATATAGATGACAAATAAGCATACCTGCCATGTACGATGCTCCACATCATATATCTTCAGGGAAACATAATTAAAACAACAAAATACCACTTTATAACTGTTAGCATGGCCAAAAACCATAACACTGACAACTCCAAATCCTGGTGCAGATGTGGATAAATAGGAATTATCAAGGTAATTATCATGCCTCACACTCACTGATAGTGAAAATTCAAAATGGTATAGTCATTTTTGAAGACAGTTTGTAATCCTGCCATACATACTCTTTCCATACATTAGAACATTTTCATGTTTTCCCAAGCAAGTTTAAAACTATGTTCACATGAAAACCCAAACACAGATGTTTGCAGTAGATTTATTCATAATTGCTATAAGTTGAAAGCAACTGAAGATATCCTTAAAGGTGAAGGGATAAATTAATTGAGGTATATCCAGACCAGGGAATATTATTCAAAGCTAAAAAGACATGAGCAGCCAAGTCATAAAAACATGTGGAAGGAACTTAAATTCATATTACTAAATGAACAAAGCCAATCTGAAAAGGCTCTATTCTATATGATTCCAACTGTATGACCTTCTGAAGAGGTAAATCTATAAAAACTACAAAAAGATCAGTGGATGCCAGGGATTAGACAAAAGTGAATGATGAACTGTAGAGCTCAGCGGAAACACAGGACAGTGATAAATACTCTGCATGATACTAGCAGTGGATATGTGTTAATATACACTTGTCCAGACCCACAGATTGCACAATACTAAGAGTGAACCCTTGACAGTAGAATGAATCAGACATAACTTTCCTATGTTCATATATGAATACATGATCAGTGTAACTCCACATCATGTACAACCACAAAAATGGGAAGGTATACTCCATGTATGTATGATATGTCAAAATACATTCTACTGCCATGTATAACTAAAAGAACAAATTAAAATTTGTTTTAAAAAGAGTGAGCCCTAACATTAGCTATGGACTTTGAGTAATAAATACGTGCACATGTAGACTCAATTGTAACAAACTGATTATACCATTCTGTTGGCAGATGTTGATAATGAGGGAGGCTATGTATGAAAAGGTGGTAGGCAAAGAGAGTATATGGAAAAATCTCTTCTCAGTTTTGTTATGAACTTACTATATTTGCTCTAAAAAATGATTTTTAATTTTTTTTAATAAAAGAAATAAGCAAACTGTAACAAGCAAGTTTAAAAGAATAAAACAAAGATTGTAGTATAATTTGACTATGACAGGCATAAAACTTTATAAACAACTCAGTATTCTATAGCCTCATAAGTACTGAAATCTAGTTAAAAAAACAACTCTCATTTTAAATTAACTACATATTAATTTATATGTTAAATACATACTTATGTCGCAAAAATACAATAGCGCCCTTGAAGAATTGTCATTCTGAATTCCCCTGGGGAGAAAACTGTCCTACATAACAAACATGTAAGAGACAATTGATATACACTTTCCTTAAAAGGCTTTTAAGTCAAAAGAAACCTCTGCTTCTCATTTTAGGCAGCTGGGAAGAAGTTGTGCTAAGAACTTTATGTGAATATTTTCATTTAACTCTCACGGCAAAATAGTGACGTAGGCAGAATCATTCTTATTTTACAGATAAGAAAACTCAGGTTAGCCAGGTGTGGTGGCACATGCCTATAATTCCAGCAGCTGGGGAAGTTGAGGCAGGAGGATCACAAGCTCAAAGCCAACCTCAGCAATTTAGCAAGGTCCTAAGAAATTCATCAAGACCCTGTCTCTAAATAAAATATTTAAAGTGGACTGGAATAGACCGAGAAGGGGAATAGCTGGGTCAAATGGTGGCTCCATTCCCAGCTTTCCAAGAAATCTCCATACTTCTTTCCAAATTGGCTGCACCAATTTGCAGTCCCACCAGCAATGTACAAGTGTACCCTTTTCCCCACATCCTCGCCAGCACTTGTTGTTGTTTGACTTCATGATGGCTGCCAATCTAACTGGAGTGAGATGGTATCTTAGGGTGGTTTTGATTTGCATTTCTCTGACTGCTAGAGATGGTAAGCATTTTTTCATGTACTTGTTGATTGATTGTATGTCCTCCTCTGAGAAGTGTCTGTTCAGGTCCTTGGCCCATTTGTTGATTGGGTTGTTTGTTCTCTTATTGTCTAATTTTTTGAGTTCTTTGTATACTCTGGATATTAGGGCTCTATCTGAAGTGTGAGGAGTAAAGATTTGTTCCCAGGATGTAGGCTCTCTATTTACCTCTCTTATTGTATCTTTTGCTGAGAAAAAACTTTTTAGTTTGAGTAAGTCCCATTTGTTGATTCTAGTTATTAACTTTTGTGCTATGGGTGTCCTATTGAGGAATTTGGAGCCCGACCCCACAGTATGTAGATCGTAGCCAACTTTTTCTTCTATCAGACGGCGTGTCTCTGATTTGATATCAAGCTCCTTGATCCATTTTGAATTAACTTTTGTGCATGGCGAGAGAAAGGGATTCAGTTTCATTTTGTTGCATATGGATTTCCAGTTTTCCCAGCACCATTTGTTGAAGATGCTAATCCTTCCTCCATTGCATGCTTTTAGCCCCTTTATCAAATATAAGGTAGTTGTAGTTTTGTGGATTGGTTTCTGTGTCCTCTATTCTGTACCATTGGTCCACCCGCCTGTTTTGGTACCAGTACCATGCTGTTTTTGTTACTATTGCTCGGTCTATTCCCTAAAGACCTAAAAAGAGCATGCTACAGGGACACTGCTACATCGATGTTCATAGCAGCACAATTCACAATAGCTAGACTGTGGAACCAACCTAGATGCCCTTCAATGGATGAATGGATAAAAAAAATGTGGCATTTATACACAATGGAGTATTACTCTGCATTAAAAAATGACAAAATCATAGAATTTACAGGGAAATGGATGGCATTAGAGCAGATTATGCTAAGTGAAGCTAGCCAATCCCTAAAAAACAAATCCCAAATGTTTTATTTGATATAAGGAGAGTAACTAAGAACACAGTAGGGTCGAAGAGCATGAGAAGAAGATTAACATTAAACAGGGATGAGAGGTGGGAGGGAAAGGGAGAGAGAAGGGAAAATGCATGGAAATGGAAGGAGACCCTCAGAGTTATACAAAAGTACATACAAGAGGAAGTGAGGGGAAGGGGAAAAATAATATAAGGGGGACAAACGAATGTCAGTAGAGGGAGCAGAGAGAGAAGAGGGGAGGGGAGGGGAGGGGAGGGGGGATAGTAGAGGATAGGAAAGGCAGCAGAATACAACAGACACTAGTATGGCAATATGTAAATCAATGGATGTGTAACTGATGTGATTCTGCAATCTGTATATGGGGTAAAAATGGGAGCTCATAACCCACTTGAATCAAATTGTGAAATATGATATATCAAGTACTATGTAATGTTTTGAACAGCCAACAATAAAAAATTAAAAAAATAATAAATAAATAAAGTGGACTGGAGATGTAGCTCAGTGGTAAAGTGCCCCTGGGTTCAATCCCTAGTACCAAAAAATAAAAAGTAACATCCAAAGTAGACCACTAAGGAGTGGAAAAATGTGAACCCTCTAGGACACAAGGTCATCCAGTAGTCCTCTACAATATCTTGATCTCCAGGTTGTTCTCCAATCCACCCAGGATATTTGGACATAATTATAGTTTAGAACAAATCAAGTAATAAATATGCCACAGGTTTCTAATCCTCCTCCATTCCTAATCTTTCATGCTCCTGCCTCTGACCCATCCCACTCTTATCACAGCCTACATCCTCACCTCATCCTAGACTCCCCGTCTCCCTCTAGTCTAAGCTGCACCAGAGTTCTAAATCCATCCCTGAAATGCTTTCCCCATCTCTCACCTCCAGAAGTGGGGACTAATGATGGGAGGATGTCCTGGGATAAAACAGTGAATATGCCTGTTTCAAAAATGCTTGGTAATTTTTTAAAAGCTTGAAGTTTTAATAACTTCTTGGTAATAGCCATTGCAAAACATTCCTGAGTAAAAGTGGCCATACATTAATGTCCAGTTAAATGACTTTAGTATCAACACAGCTATGTCACATCAAATAATAGTCAGATAAAAATGTCAAGTATTATATGACACTGGGATAATCTCTGAAATTGTAAATTGAAATAACCCATCATGCTCTAAGAACTCCACATGTATGGTCTCATTTTACACTTAAAATTGTACAGTCAGTAGTGCAGTTGGTGCTATATTCACAATTTTACTTTTTTTTTCTTTTAGTACTGTGATTGAACCCAGGGTTGCTTAACCACTGAGCCATACACCCATTTCTTTTTTTCTTTCTTTCTTTTTTTTTTTATTTTGAGACAGGGTCTCATTAAGTTGCTCAGGGCCTTATAAAATTGCTGAGGCTAGCCTCCAACTTGCAATTCTCCTGCCCCAGCCTTCTAATCCACTGGGATGATAGGCATGTGCCATCATGCCTAGCCATTTTACTTCTTTAAAAAGCCACAAATTGAGTATAAGAGAGGTGATCTAACACAGTAAGGCAGATGGCAGCTAGGGGTAGAACCTACAGAACATCTCTTCAGGGCACATCACTACATCACTATGTTTATTTCTTTCTGTTTCAAAGATTTGAAATATACCACATGAATCCTCAATAAAAATTTATTTTACAATGACTTTTAAAAATGAAAGGATTCTAATTTTACATATTTAACTTCAAATAGATCAAGATAAAATTCCATAAATTCTGACATCAGTTATTATACCCAAATACTAATATCAAGGACATATTTACAAAATATAGTTTTGGGGGGAATCATTTTCTGTAAATGAATATTTCACATTTTATTTTTCAAGCATTTAAACTCATATCATATCATTCCTTTTAGAGCCTGAAAACTTTTGGTCTGTTTCTTCCAATATTTATAAATGAAATTATCTACTTTCGGGAAACAGTCCCCATCAGCCTGGGATGGGAGGTGGGGACTTTGGGTATCATAATGAAAAAGTCATAAGACACACCCATTTTCTGTAGTTCCCCTGGACAACTCTTTTTAAACTCATGGAAGAGTATAAACTAACATATGTAAGAAAAGCTCATGTTGGTGACAGCAAATAATGTATAGAACAATAAAATGATACATTTAAACACTAGTAAAATGTATATTTCTAAAAAAAAAGTTTAATATCATCTGACTTTCTCACCTGAGAAAATGCAGATAGTAATACCACAGGTTATATGAAATGTTCTGCTTTTATCCAACAATCTTCTTGTTCTCCTGCTTGGTACCTAAATAAAATTTAATATGGTAAATAAGGTACAACAAATAAGATGTACAACCTTTTTCACTTTAACACTACTCATAATATAAAAATTTTGGAAATATAGCAGAAGCCTATGAATAAAAATTAGTGAGATGAATTATGATACACTTAATGAAACATTCAAACAATTAAAAATAATGTGAAAAGATTATGTTATTGATTTCTTAAGAATGAAAGATACTTTTAGGGAATAAAATTATAAAATAGAAACTACATTTTGATTCTATGTTGTTCAAAGTTAAGGGCACTGGATGTTAATGTCTCTAAACTGTCATCAGTAGTTGCTCATGCAGAGTAGGATCAGGAGGAAAGTTCTCTGACTATTTTACATATTTCTGTGATGTTTGAATTTCACAGTATATATGATTTCCTTTGCTAGCCAAAAAATAAGATTATTTTTAAATGAGGCAATCTCATCTAGGGTTTTAAATGCCTGCTTGATCTCATAGAAAAATAAATGTCAAGCATCTTTGAATATCTGTATTTCACACTGTGAAACAATTTTTAAAGACTTATTAAATACTGGGAGACTTCAGTAGGCACTTTTATTTCCTGCCACTTATCTTTTCTTTTTTCATGCCAAGCCAATAGCCAGCCATAGGGATCAAAACCTAGCATTTTACAATGGAAGGCAATCTAGGGAAGGAATTATTTCCACAAAAATTACTGCCTTAAAAATAAAGTTTCCAAATGTAATTACAAGATTGAGAAGTTTTACCGGATTAAGTTGCACATATGAACTTCACAGATCAAAGCTACCTCAAGTTAAAAATTCATTTGAAATTACTATCTGTCTAGTAGTACCTTACTGTTTTAGTGATGAGTGGATTCACACATATCCACACACACACATACATATGAACATGCACATATACACAATAATAATCAAAGACAAAGAATTTCACTTATATCCTTCATTTTAAAACAGTAAATATTGTAACATAATCTTTTCACATTATTTGATCACACTAATTTGATCTAGATATGTTTTTTAAGCTCCAAATGGGTATGTGTATGTGTGTGTGTGTGTGTGTGTATGTGTGTGTTAAGTAGAGATAAGGTGCCAACACTATCATGTGTTGCTAAAAGGCCACAGGATTCCTACTTGTTCACCTGGATGTAGCTAAGTGAAAATGCAGGACTGTGATGAGGCAAGGTGTGGTACAGAGAGCTCAGAAGTGGGGTGGATTTTAGCTCCTCCTTCACTAGTCATGATCTTGGTCAAGTCACTTCTGCTTTCCAAGCCTCAGGTTCCTCACGTACAAATGGAACTGATTAATCCTGATTGCAGATTCATTGTAAGGATTCACAATGTTGTGTATGAAGTGCTCAGCACAGTGCCTGAAAACACTATTTATAATTTTTCTCTGATCCTCTGCTCTGCCTAGTGTTGTAGGAGAACTCATGGATGATCTTGAGAGTTAACATGGCCCTTACCATCATTTCTGAAGAAATCAATCTAAACAAAAGTCAGACCATGAAAATTAAACAGAATTAAGACGTGACCATAACATTTGATTTTATGTTGAAATCCATAATGAGGATGTTCTTTTTTTCTTACCTTCTGGGATCCTCGAAGATAAGCCAGGAGTGTTCGGCACATAGGTAAAAGGATAAGGCTGCAGTTGAAGTTAAGAACAGATGCTGAAGCTCTGCTGAAACACAATCCTAGCTGAACAAACAAAGCAAGGGTCAAAACATAGTTAAGTACATAAGCAAAAGAACCCTGACCTAGACCCACAAGCTGCAGGTATCTCCCTATTTCCCCTTTGAGGATCACAGTAAATACCTGCTCCTTCTAGAGTCTTCAACAGCCCTCCTTTCACCAGAAAGCCTGTTAGCAAAATTGGTTTCTTTATGTGCGGAATGGCTGTAAAACTTAGTTCTCCTCTCATGTCAGCTAGTGTTGTTATCAAATGAGTACATTCTTCCAGTTTGATTTCTTGTTTTGTCCTCACTGTCTAGGTGTTGAGAGCTCTAGAGAGAGAGAATCTCAGCACCGTTTTCTGCAACTCCACATTCATGTGGCATTGGATCTTTTATTCACTGATAGACCCTCAAGACTTTAAAGAGCTTTCATTTGTATCCTCCCTCTGAAATTCTCTCAGCATAACCCACTTCTTTACACTACATTACCTGCCTGCAAGCTCTTCACCTCACTAACTCTTCATCCCCAGGTTTCTAAGTAAGCTCTACTTACTCCAGACCTGAAAGCAGGAGAGTTGCCTCTATTATATACACTCTCACTGCTTTCTGTCCTTACTTTATTATAATGTCTGTTTAATACTCTTTCAATCTTCTCTTTTTAAGATTCATTTTATTTTTATTTACTGTATATATATATATATATATATATATATATATATATATATATATATATATATATATATGGTAGGATGTGATCTTTTAACATGTAGATACATTGTAGAATGATCAAATCAGGCCAATAAATATGTATCACCTCAAATAAATACTTATCATACCCTTGTAGTAAGACCATTTAAAATCCACTTTTTGCTATTTTGAAACTTGCTACAAATTATTATTAGTCACCATTGTGCAATACATCATCAGAACCTATTCCTCCTGTCTGAAACTTTGCACCCTTCTATCAACATCTCCTCTTTCTGCACCTGCCACCACCCTGCCCGAAGTCTCTGGTAATCATTCTACTCTCTATCTCCAAGAATTCTACTTTTTTAGGCAAGTGCTCTACCACTGAGCACAACCTCAGCCCTCTACTTTTTTAGATTCTAACAATAAGCAATATCATACAGCAGTTCTCTTTCTGTGTCTGGCTTCATTCACTATGCACAATGTCCTCTAGGTTCATTCATGTTGTTTGAGATGTTCAATCTTAAATGAGATGGTACCTTAGAAAACTGCAATTCATATATTTGGGTATGTCTTGGAAGCAGGACATAAGTGTTTTTTGTGCACTATTTCCATTTGGTCAGTTAATTTCTGATTACAAAATAATTTCTAATTACAAAAATAAATGAATATTATAGAATATAATACAGTGGTGTTAGCAAATACACAGTTATATACTATTACTGGCCATGCACAGTTACAGTTTGAACATATTTCATTTATTAACATATCAAACCTTCTCCTATAACTCTGAGAAATAATTAATAGCTTTTTAGGATTACTCTTATATAAAGGGGAATGTGACATTATGATTATAATGTTATAATAGTAATAAGAGTAACATTAAGACCTAACATAAAACAAACAAAAAAAAGATGTTGTGGAGCCAAAATTGAAACCCAGAGGTTCTAGCTAGAGTGTCTATGCCATGAATAACCACTTTAGACTTCCTCTTCAAGTTGGCTTTTTAAAAGACAATGCCCAGAAGGCACATAGTAGGCAATAGATATTTTGTTAAACAACTTGAATTTACATTTGAAGAAAGGAAATGTAGACAACCAGTCTAGATAACATTTCTCTCCTTATATGCTTCTCCATCAACAAGATGATTATTATTCTTGTTTTTTTATCATTAGAAAAATTAGAGATACAAATATTTGAGATTATTAGAGAAGGCCACAGCAATATGTCCATTAGGATTGCCTACACACTGAGGTTTGGAGGGGATTCCTAGCACTCTTATTCTTCTTTACTTCCGTTTAGTATGTGGCATGTTACTTTAAACATTTTATGTTTTGTCCTATTTCTCTAATAAAAGGGTAAGCCCTTCAAGGACAGGAAAAATAGTTCTAAAATGCTTAAGATCACTTTACATTTTATTTCAGTTCTCATGTAATTAATTGATTTTGAATAGATTTTTAATGTAATCCTCAGATCAGCTCTGTAACATAGGCTGAGTACACAGTATTATTGCCATTTCAGAGATAAAGAGCTTTTACTAAATAAAAATAATTATACCCACAAACAAAAAATTCTGAATTTAATGCTTTGGGGTAGTGCCTGGATACCAATATTTCTGAAAGCTTTCCAGATAATTCTAATATGAAACATGGATTAAAAATTATAGTCATAAACTAGTTAGCTAAATTGTATTGCTCATAAATTATAAAACAAAAACAATCATTAAATTATAATGAGTAAACAGAATTTTATATCTACAAATTTACTGACCAAACTGGATTTAAAATTAATTTTCATATTTAGAAACAAAATTATTCTAAATATGCTTAAATTAAAAAGTGACAACAACAAGATCTCATGTGCAGAAAGCTGACACAGTGAGGAAGAACTAACAAGAGGCTTTTCATTTCCTACCCTCTAACACAAAAACAGGCGCTGCACAGGTGCCTTTAATGGACCACAGGACATCTTTTCAAATGTTACAAGATACAAACGATTATACTCATTTCACAACTGAGTTACATAAGGATCTTAGAGGTTGAAACCTTCCCCAAGGTCATACAACTAGTAGAAGATAAACTCTGTACCTTAGACTGGGGGATTATCTTCATCTTGGGTTAAAATCAAGACCAAAAAGACAACAAGAAAAAAAAAAAAAAACAGGCCCAGAAGGTTATGCAAGGAAAACTACTATTAAAGATAGGGAAAGCCTGTTCCTATAGCCCCCTTGGGCCATATACATTATGACTTTGTTGCCAGAGGAGTTCCTTAGTCAAGACAAGGTCTTGAATTTTAACTCCCATCAAGTGCAATTGCTTCACTTCATTCCTTTGGTTTGAAATACTCCTGTAACCCTAGCTAGCACCACTTACTCTTCAGTTGGTATATTCATAAAAATGTTTGTATCTGATTAGACTCAAACTTCTTTGAGCTCCACTGTATGGCCTTGATTCTTACATACTCTCTCACAAGGTCAGTCCTAGAGAGGCAGATGTCCCAAAGGTACCTGAATCCTCTTTATAACTACCTCTCAACTCTAGGATCTAGGAAGGCAGAAATTGGTTTATACTTTTCTACTCCTTATTCATACCATGTTGCAAGTTCCTCAAATGCAACATTCTGGTGTTTACAGCTTTGAATCCTTAACCCTAACACAATGGCTATACCCAATAATATGGATGTGCACTGAATTTTTCAACACATGTATCATGCTTTGATAATCATCTCATTTGGTTACAACACTACACTTGGTTCATATATTTATAATCTTCAGATGATTTTATTCAGGAATCCTCTATGTCTAACAATTACTTTAAAATAGCTCACAGTATCATGGGAAAACATTAGGAAGTGGTCAAAGAAAGTCCCTACTATCATCAGGAAGATGAAGTTTCTCTACTTACATGAATGCAATGCCATAAATGTGTATAAAGGAGAAAATCTCTTTCACAAAAACTAGACACCTCAAAAAATTATTAGTTCCATTATTATTCCCCTCAGAATTTTTATAAAAATTTATCCATCAAAATGGGTACTAAGGCAGACATGGTGGCACGCACTTGTAATCCCAACGGTTGAGGATTTCAAGCTCAAAGCCAGCCTCAGCTACTTAGGGAGACCCTAAGCAACTTAGCAAGACCCTGTCTCAAAATTTTAAAAAATTAAAAATTAAAAAAACTTGTGAATAGTTGTTTTATTTATCAAAAGGGACTTTATAGATGTGATTAAGGTTATGGTTCTTAACCATAAAGAGAGTACTTTAAATTACCCAGGTGGATTCAATCTAATCATGTGAGCATTTAAGAGCTGAGAAATTTTTGCACTGGAGGCAACAGAGAGTGAGCAGTAAGGGATGTCAGAGAAATTCTATAAATAGGACTCACTGGTTGATATGTAGGGGCCCCTGTGTAAGGATAATGAGAAGCCTTGACTGGCAACCAGCAAGAAAAAGAAGACTTCAGTCCTCTGTCTGCAAGGGACTGTATTTTGGTAACACACCAAATAATCTTAGAGGCAGGTATTACCCAGAACCTCACCAAGAACCCAGTTGACATATTCATTTCAGCCTGTGAACTTTGGAGTAGAGAAATCAACTGCTAAGTTTCTGACCTACAGAACTACAAAATAATAAATTTGTATTGTTTTAAACTACCATGTGTATGATAATTTGTAAGAACAGCAAAACAAAACTAAGACACCAAAATGGAGGTCAGCTTTCATCAAATACTTATCAGATATTTCAGGCTGCAAAACCAAAGACGTATTTCAAAAGACAGTATAGAATATATTCTTTAATTTCATAGTAAATTGTTAGAAGTACAAATTTTAGATTCAAACAAGTTTTCTTTTTACTTTTGAGATGTCTAACCATGTCATTTGTTAGATGACTGGCTATAAACAAATTATAAACTTCTCTGAAGAATGGGAGATAAAACTGATATCAATACACAATTCAAAATATAGGTACCATACAGATCACTTTCTCTAAAGATGTAATTAACTTAAATATTAGGAACAAACAATGATTTAAAATCCATTATTTCAGCCTTTTTTTAAAAACTAGCAGTTTTGAAGCCGATAAGCTCATACTCAAAACGAATTATTGAACTAAGATTCTAACTTAAAAGTTACAAAAATAACACTATTCACCTCCCCAAAATGAAAACAAAACAAAGATTAAACAGAAAATTTAAAACCCTTATAAACAAATTAAGATAAATCATAGGAGTCGGCAGTGGCAGGATATACAGTTAATACTAAAAAGCTAAGAGCATTGCTATATGATACCAACAAATATTTTTACAAATTTATTTTTAATATTTCATTTTATATGAACAA